GTACATTCTATATCAGAGACCTCTCAGGATCTATCTTAATAGAAACACAATGAATGGGTCAAAAGAATCCTTCTGGAGGCTTAACCATGGGATAAAGTAGTTAAAATGCAACAAATACTACAAATTAAAATAGTAGTAATGTATGATAATAATAGTTTCTATTTTTGACATTTTGCACTTATTAATGCATTTTTATATTCAGTATCTAACTGGCTTTTCAAAACGTGATTGCTTCTTTTTACCATATGAAGACAGTCACGAGATTAAATAACTTGTGCAAAATGACTGCTAAGAGGTAGAATGGTAGTGTACACCTGTGGTTCCACCTACCCCGGAGGCTGAGGTAGGAAGATTGAGAGTTCAAGGCCAGGCTGTGTAATTTAGTGAGAACTTTGTCTTAAAACAAAATGAAATGAAATGAAATGAAATGAAATGAAACAGAAGAAAACCTACTAATGTGCTAAAACCAAGTCTCACATCTAGGCTTGTAACTTTCTGGTGGGGAAACTTTTAGCTGACACTAGGAAAGGGAAAAAAACAATGGAACCAGCTTTATGCTTGCAAATAAAAATCAATACTTCTAATTCTACCAGGAGAGAGAATCATCACAAAGCACAGATGAATTAATTTTTTTCCTTTTATAGCCCATTTTTGTGACAACTTCGCACTTTCCAGGGAACGTTTTTCGCACATGCAGGATCATTACCAAGATTTAGCTGCTTCTCATGGCGCCTGCTCCCCTGGAAGCAGGAACCTTTACTGAACGGAATCTGTGTACAAGGAGAGCGGTGTTTGTGGTATTTGAAACCTGACTCTGCATTCATTCCCAGGGTGCTTCCCAGTGTCTATAAAAAGCCCATCATGTCACATTAAGTTCCATAAAGCTTACTGTATGGGAAGCCTTTATCTAACCAGCCACACCGCGTAGTCGCTGGCTCATTATATCATAGTAGTAGACGTGAAAGAAGTTTTTAATGTCCCAGGCAACACATTTAGGGGAATTTTAATGCCCACTTCCCTTTTCTTCCTTCTGTCTTCTCTATTTTTAGTCTGCACATTCTTTTTCCAGCATGAATGCTGCCTCGTTTTTCTCCCATGTCTTAGCACAGTGCAGAAGCAGGTATAGCTTGTGTTTTTCTATCAATTTAGACATGTTCCTCATTCATTCATTCATTCATTCATCTTTCTCATCTTTTTGCAGGCTGTTTGGCTTGTATCAAGATGTCCCCCACGAAGCTTCATGCAGTCATAGGAGGGGCTTTTCGGAGGCAGCTGGATCAAGGGTGTGTGATGCTGGGTTCAGGGATGTAATGCTGGGATTGATTCATGGTGTGCTGCTAGGATTAAGGATGTGAATGACAATATAAGAGACAGGAGGAGGGCTGTGGTGTGTGGCTTGTCACATGTAGCCAGCTCACTTGCTTGCTGTCTCCTGCCTGCCCTGCTTTGCCATGAACTCTTTTTATTTATTTATTTATTTTTTGAGACAGTGTCTTGTCATATAGTGAAAGCTGGCCTTGAACTCCCTTATGTACCCCAGGCTGGCCTTGAAATCATGGCGATCCTTCTGTCGAAGCCTCCTGAGTGCTGGGATCACAGGTGTGCACCACCACATCAGGATGCCATGGACTGTTCTTCCTCTGTGATGCCTCGCTGTCATGCCACCCTGCCCTGGAGCCAGTCAAGTATGAACCAAAACCTCTGCAACTGTAAGCTAAATAAATCTTTCCTCCCTTATCTTTGGGCATTGGGTATTTTGTCTCAGCAAGGAGAAAAGCAACTAAAGCACAGGTATTGCTCTTCGTGCTAGCAAAGTGGTGTCTGTCTTCTGGGGACTTCCAGGCAGGGGAGGCTGCTATGGTTTAGTGTGGGATGTGTTCCCTAAAGCCTCCTGTCTGGACGGTCACTGGACCATGAGGTGCTGCTGAACTTTGTGGCTACACGTGTTGTTTGGAGGTGGGGCCTAGTGAGAAAGGTGATCATGGGGCTGTGACCTGGAAGGATCTGTCTCCCTCCCCAGCTCCTCCCTCTTCTCTCTGCTTTCTGTCCACTATAACTTTTTTTTTTCAAGTCTTGTTCACGGGCCACTGGATTAGATTTTTAGGCTTTTAGTCAGTGTCTTCTGCAGGTTTTCAACTGTATTTTGAAATAATACATCTAGCTGGAAAAATATTTGGGCAATAGAATATAGTATCAGTGTGGTTACCCTGAGTTTTAGGATAATTCATCATAGCTAAATCTTGGAAGCAACCTATATGACCAACAGATGAATGAATAAAGAAAGTGTGACGAGAGTTTTCAGTTCTTCCTAACCCTTGCAAACATTTGCTATAGTCAGCCTTTGTAACTTCAGTCATTCTGGCTATATACAGTGGTGTTTCTTTGTTTTTCCTTTGCATTCCTAATGTTTCCAATGTTGGGCATTTTCATCTCCTTGCTTGTCATTCACATATATTTCATAGTTTTTGCCCATTTTTTAAAAAATGGGTTGATCACTTTTGTATTATTTAGTTTTATGAGAGTTCTTTACATATTATAGATGTCTTTTGTCAGATACATGATGGCAGATACTTTTCTTCTCTCTATATCTTGTCTTTTGACAAATAGACTTAATAATTTTAGTAAAGTCTACTTTTTCACTTTTTCTTTTATGGATCAAGAAAATTTAGTGCTTTTGATATCATAAATGTGAAATCTTTGCCTAACCCAAGGTCATGAAGACTTTCTCCTCTGTATGGTTCTAGATTACTTATAATTTTAGGTTCTACATTATGTGTACAACTGATTTAATTATTTTTGGCATAAGTGTAATATATATAAAACTAATA